CGCCACTAAAAACCATTGCGATCCCGCGGTTGAAGCTATCAGCAGCCGTTTTAACGACAAAGTTGGACAAGTCAATCAGAAAGGAAATTGATATACCGATCTGCGAGTCAGTATTTTGGACTGACAGTACGTGCGTCCTAAGTTACATCGCGAGTAAAGATAGAAGATTTCATACCTTTGTTGCCAATCGCGTCTCTTCCATCCACGAAGCGTCTTCCCCATCACAGTGGAACTACGTGGACACGAAGTCGAACCCAGCTGACGATGCGTCAAGGGGGATACAAGTTAAAGATTTGTTACAGAACAAGCGTTGGTTGGAAGGCCCGGAGTTCCTGTCCCAGTCAAAGGAGAGCTGGCCAGAGCAGCCTATCGTTAGCGCTCAAGTCGTCAAAGATGCCGATCCAGAAGTGAAGAAGACTAAAACATTTGCCACGATTACAACTGTAACTGGTAAAGTTGACGAGATCTTTGCACGTTTCTCATCTTGGTACCGCTTAAAGAAGTTTGTGGCATGGATGCTGCGCTATAGACGTGCATTGCGTAAAGCCTGCGAGAAATGTTCTTCAAATGGACACGAACGAAAGCAAACACATATCAAGCCACTAACGGTTGAAGAGTTGCGCGAAGCCGAGCTGGAAATCATCAAGATTGTCCAAGAACGAAGTTTTACTGAAGAGATTGCGGTGATGCTACGGAATTTAAATTCAGCTACTAATGCGAATGTCATGCCAAAAACAGTCAAATGTTCCAGTCCACTCTATAAGCTTGATCCAGTGTATGATAAGCGCGTCCTCAGGGTTGGAGGGCGATTGAGAAATTCTTTGGTTTCGGAAGGAGCGAAGCATCCGTTGATATTACCCGGCAATCATCACGTTGTGACTCTGATCGTTGAATATTATCACGATCTTTCTGGTCATTCCGGTTTGGAACATGTTCTCGCGATGCTATAAGAGAAAGATTTTGGATAATCAGAGCTCGGGTTCTGATCAAGAGCGTCATTAAAAGGTGCTTCGATTGCAAGAAGAGACAAGCACCTGTAGGAGAGCAAATGATGGCAGATTTGCCAGTGGATCGTGTCACGGCTGGGAAACCGCCATTCACCAACGTTGGGTATTGATTGCTTTGGCCCTTTCACGGTCAAGAGGGGCAGAAGCAATGTAAAGAGATACGGAGTGATATTTACCTGCCTGGCAATACGGGCAGTGCATATCGAAGTCGCGAATAGTTTGGACACGGATTCGTTCCTGAACGCGTTGAGGAGATTCGTGGCGAGGCGTGGCCAGCCAGAAGAAATTAGATCGGACAACGGCACGAATTTTGTCGGTGGAAATCAGGAGCTTCGAAGGGCGATAAAGGCGTGGAATCAAGACAAGATCAACGGTTTCTTGACACAAAGAAACGTAAAGTGGGTTTTCAACCCACCTAAAGCGTCTCATCACGGTGGCGTATGGGAGCGGTGTATTCGGACCGTACGAAAGGTGCTGAATGCTTTGATGAAGGAACAAGTCCTGGACGACGAGCGACTAACAACCCTCTTGTGCGAGGTCGAAGGAATTGTAAATAATCGGCCGATCACGAAAGTCTCGGACGACCCCAAGGATCTCGAAGCCCTTACACCCAACCACCTCTTGTTGCTTCGAAAGGGATCCGAGTGTCCACCCGGTGTGTTTACGAATGGCGACCTTTACTCACGTCGGAAATGGAGACAAGTTCAATACCTTGCGGATATCTTTTGGAAGCGATGGACGAAAGAATATTTACCATGTTTGCAAGAACGGCAGCGATGGTCCAAGATCCAAAGAAACTTCTCTGTCGGGGATATTGTGCTAGTAGCTGACGAAAGTTCACCTCGGAATACGTGGCCGTTGGGTAGAGTTGTTGATGTTCGGCGGAACAGTAAAGACGGTCTAGTGCGAAGCGTTACAGTAAAGACGAAGAATACGACTTTGGATCGTCCGGTGACAAAGATTGTTCTACTGGAAACCGTCGAGCAAGTTGAAGAAGGAAGACTATGAACGATAAGTACAATATTAACATGCATCTATAGTTATACGTTGCATGATAACCGTTTAATATCTATCATTTTTGCCTTATATATATAGTTTGTTAGTTAAAGTCCAATTCTTCTGTTTGTTTAAATGCTCATAGTTCATACCTTTGCATTTAGGGGCCGGTATGTAGGATTGGAACTGTCAATTTGTGTTTTGTTAGTAATGACAACTGTGCTTATCACAGGAAATTTACGGTCGACTATCCTTATCACAGGAAATTTATGTTTTTAAGACTGATGTAGTTAATTGCGTTTTTGCATGGAAAAAGCACGCTTAGCCCCAGAACTCGGGAGTATAGTTTGAGACACTCGTAAAGAGAGGACAGCCAGAGAAAGAGATAATTTACGTTGAAAGTTAAAGAGCTACTGGGGAAACATCTTCGAACTTATGTAAGCTCTAACACCATTGACATGCACAGTGAAACCAAGATGGTATCGGTCTCAAATTGTGCTCACCCGTGAGCTTATACCATCTTGGTTTCACTGTGCATGTCAATGGTGTTAGAGCTTACACCTAACCTCATTTCGAGAAGCGAGATGCTATCGATCAGTTGCCACTATTCCACTAGTCATTCAAGTCCATGTGTTTGGCGATGCTTCATTGGAAGCATTCTGTACAGTTGGTTACTTCCGATTCCTCTATCCAGATGGGTCCATACAGTGTTGTTACTTATTTCATCATGGGAAGAACTCGGGTAGCCCCTTTGGGGACCGGCCATAAAGTATTTACTAGGGGGTGTGGAGGATATTTTTTTTTGGGGGGGGGGGTAAAAAAACAGAACCTCTGAGGGGGTACGGAAAAAACAACAGAACCTCTAGGGGGGTACCAAAATCTTAGTATTATAGGTACGGAAAAAAAATTACATTTTATAATTATGGTTGAATATTGAATGTATTTGTGCCCAGATACGATTTTTAAATCGTTTTTAAATGTTTGGAAAGATTAGACCTTATGAAAAATGATGTCACAAGGCTTGATGCCCGCGAGAAATGCTGGTCTTAGTAGTCATCGCCCGGGAAAATTCGATAGTGGCTTTTTGACTTGTTTAATTTTCCCGAGCAATGACTATTGAGACCAGCATTCCTCGCATTACGCATAAGGCCTACGTCTATTGTTTTATTATACTTATTATTAAATCAACACAAAGTATATATGTTTCAGTCTGACTCAATGTCAGATGATATGTAGGATTCAGTTTCCGTGGAACGTTTGGAGTACAAATCTGATACATTTGAATGGACCATTTGCATTATAGACTAAATTTTGATCTAGACAAAAATTTCATCACAGCTTGAAAGAGCATCACAAAATTAGTAATATTCCAAAGTTTCGTTTGGGAATTTGGTAAAATGCGGATAATATAGCCTTGCGAAATTTGCAAATTTCAGTCATTTTGTATTACAAACGGGAAATTGATGCCCCAACACCCGATTGGGCTGTCAATTAATTTCCCGTGCGTAATACAAAATGACTGAAAAACGGCAAACTTCGCAAGGCTATATTATCCGCATTTTACAACATTTCGCAACGAAACTTTGGAATATTACTAATTTTGTGACGCTCTTTCAAGCTGTGATGAAGTTTTTGTCTAAATCAAAATTT